TGTTCCGGAACAGCTCCGATGACATCAACGTGTTTACGGAAGCAGTTGTGGGACTCGTCGGGAAACTAGCGGATGATACCGTACAGAAAACGAACATCAAAATGTTTCCCAGTCAGAAGCTGTGGGTGGATAGAACCATCCGCGATGCTCTGAGATCTCGCACCGCTGCCTATAACGCGGGACTTGCGTCGGGTGACATGGACTGCGTCATACAACGTGCGGAAAGCGGTGAAGGAGGCGAAGCAGTGCTACGGGAGGAAACTAGAGACACGGCTCCAACAGAGTGACTCTAGGAGCCTGTGGCAGGGACTAAGAACAATAACGGACTATAAAGCATCAACATCTGGTATGACGAACGCGGACGTGTCTCTGGCAGACGAGCTGAACACCTTCTATGCTCGCTTTGAGGCTACAGCTAAAGACGCTAGCAATGCTAATGCTAGCGGCGCTAACGGCTGCAGACAGGAAGACACTGCCAGCACCGGAAACGCATTCATCATCTCCGAGCATGATGTGAGGAGAGCCTTCAGGAGAGTGAACACCAGGAAAGCAGCAGGACCAGACGGCATCTCAGGTCGAGTCCTCAGAGCCTGCGCAGACCAGCTAGCACCTGTGTTCACAGAGATATTCAACCTCTCCTTATCTCAGTCGGTGATCCCCACATGCTTCAAAGAGTCCATCATTGTTCCTGTTCCAAAGAAACCCCATCCTGCTTCCCTCAATGACTATCGACCTGTAGCCCTCACCTCAGTAGTGATGAAGTGCTTTGAGCGGCTGATCAGAGACTTCATCATCTCCTCACTACCTGACACACTGGATCCACTACAGTTTGCTTACCGTTCAAACCATTCTACAAATGACGCTCTCTCTCATCTCCTCCATTCATCTCTCACTCACCTGGACACTAGAAGGGGGAATTATGTTAAAATGCTTTTCATCGACTACAGTTCAGCATTTAATACCATAATTCCCTCCACACTCACCACCAAGCTGGAGCACCTGGGACTCAGCTTATCTCTCTGTCAGTGGATCTCCAACTTCCTAACTGGCAGACCACAGGCAGTAAAGATGGGCGGACATGTCTCAGCCCCCCACACTCTCAGCACTGGAGCCCCCCAGGGTTGTGTTCTGAGCCCCCTGCTGTACTCATTGTACACTGCGTAGCCTCTACCAACTCCACCACCATCATCAAGTTTGCTGACGACACCGTCGTGGTGGGCCTGATCACAGACAACGATGAGACGGCCTACCTGGAGGAGATTGGAAATTTGGAGAACTGGTGCCAGAGGAACAATCTCCTTCTAAACGTCAGCAAGACAAAAGAATTGATAGTGGACTTTAGTACAAAGCAGGAGAGGAACTACCAGACCCCCGTCATCAACAAGAGCCCAGTGGAGAGAGTGGACAGCTTCAGATACCTCGGTGTCCACATCACGCAAGACCTGTCATGGTCCTGTCACATCAACACCGTGGTGAAAAAGGCCCGGCAGCGTGTCTCTTCCACCTCAGACGCTTGAGAGACTTCAGACTGCCCTCCAGAGTGCTCAGGAATTTCTACTCCTGCACCATAGAGAGCATCCTGACCGGAAACATCACGACCTGGTTCGGAAACAGCACCAAGCAGGACAGACGAGCTCTACAGAGGGTGGTGCGATCAGCTGAGCGCATCATCCGCACCGAGCTCCCTGACCTGCACTCAATTTACAGCAAGCGGTGCTGGACCAGGGCCAGGAAGATCGTGAAGGACCTCAGCCACCCCAGCAATGGACTGTTCTCTCTGTTGAGGTCAGGAAAGCGATTCTGCTCCCTGAAAACCAATACAAAAAGACTGAGGAGGAGCTTCTTCCCGCAGGCGATACGGTCTCTAAATCAGTATACCACACAGTACTGATCCATTTTGCACATCCACACATACGTTTCTTGCACTGACTCTAGCCTTTCGGGACATTCATTGACACTAGTGGTCACTGCACACCTGCACATTCGTGGACATTAGTTATTTATTCTATTTTATTCTGTTTCCCTGATGCACATAAGTCACTTTAAATATGACACTTTCAGGGATATTTGCACGCCCCCTGGACATTTCTATTTATATTCACTTCATTCCCACACAAAAATTCCATAAATTCTATATTTTCTATATTGAACAGCTAGGTTTTTCTTATTTTTCTTATATTTTTCTTATATTGTATATTTTGTATTGTACAGATATTTTATTCTCTCTTAGTTAAATTTACTTTCTATTTTCTTTTTCATATTTATTTCCTATTAATAGTCTTTTATTTTAAGGTCACGGGCAGTCGTCTAAGCATTTCACTGCATATCGTACTGTGTATGACTGTGTATGTGACAAATAAAATTTGAATTTTTAATGATAATGAGCCTTCAACCAACTGTAGCTTACAGGTAACGTTAAGGATCATTGATTCTGAGTTAGTTTTGTGAGCTTGTTGGTGGGCTCACACGTTTTTTAGTCGTTAAAAATCATTTTAATTGTTAAAATTTTAATTATTACCATGTCAGCCCGATGTTATCAGTTATGTTTTTTTTCTTGTGTCGGAGAGTTTTACTCTGTGAGTGTGTGGGGCGGAGCAGGCAGCTCTCAAACACTGCAGCGTGTGTGAGAGTTGCGTTACTCTGCCCCGATCACAGACGGCACCGTCCTCGGAGACACAGAGCTGCTAAGAACAATGCATGGCGGAGAAATCTGTCTGTTCGAAAGCATGGTTACCATTCACTTGAGCTGATGCTTACAATGGTCTTTCTGTGCAACTTTGAGCGGAGATTCGAACAATTTGTCAGAAGTCTAGATAAAAAGTGCACGACTTTGCGCAGTTAGTTTCCTCATTAAATGTGTCTATCCTTTATGCGGGCTTATACTGTACGTCGACAGCGTCACAATCACTAGGGGCTTACGTTGTCCTTGCATACAAGGCTGTGACAAAGTTTTTTTATTTTATTTTCTGCGATCGCTAGATTCTGATTGTGAATTTGGCTTGTAAGCTATCTGTCTGCTAACAACATAAACAACATGTGAGTGAAAGGTTTCGGGCCTTGTACACTACTCATCATACCATGATGCACATAGTTACTAGTGTTTTTTTTCTTCTGTTTTAGTAATTGCTGTCTGATGGCTGAACAAAAATCTAATCCTGCATGGCAGCATTTCACCAAGCCAACACTATATTGTGCACTGAAAGAGATTCTGATGCTATTTTTATTGTTTATAAGTTTATTTTTTACAAGTTGTATTGTGTTTTTAAGTTTATATTTAAATTTACACGTCAGTATTCAATAAATGCAAAGTTGAGAAATTTTGTGTATCATTTGTTATTAGTGTGATATTTTAGATATATTTAGAGAATTGACGAGATACACCTAAGTGGACACTTTGGCGACTTATGTCTATCTCGCCGTTTTGCCGACTAGTAAATATAACACCATACCTCTACTACACCGCACTATACACGCGAGACTTAAG